ATGTTATTCTACACTTGCAGAGTCCACTAATCTTTTATGAGCGAGTGATCCAGAGTAAAGGTGATACTGATACTGATCCAGATCCAGGAACAGTTATTCTTATGTGTGTTGATGTACTGGTTAGAATTTCTGGCAAACATGCTCTGTACCAAATGGAGCCCTGGCATGTAGCACAATCTTTACGTATACCTTCAGCACTTTTTCAAGACTTCCATCTCTTAAAACTTTCAGAAGCTCCTATTCCTGATGATTCTTCAACAATTCCAAATAACCAAGTCTCTAATCCAGTAGCAAGTTCACATTTCTCTGGCATAGATAGGCAATACTCGGTTGACCTATTTTCTGCTTGCTGCCGATTGTTACATAATGTTCTGAAGCATCACAAAAGGTAATTGTATTCCTTTTGTATGAAAAACCTCACGACTATTAACCTTGGGAATAAGCTGGAAAACATAAAAGTAAAGGCTGAATATGAAGAAGAATAGTTTTAAGCTTTTGATATTCATTTTCTGCAAATTGATTATTGAAGAGGGTTGCGATGCATGCTGAATTTATTTTCATTTTTTTTGTTTTTCATCCTCATCAAGTAGACTTAGAATATAATTGAATTGTTGTTTCGTAATTTCTAGTGAATGCGAACGGTGTGTTGCTATACTTGAAGCTTCTGTTCGTATACTTCTTCATTGTTTGGAGACAGTGGATGCTGATGCAGTTGTGAAGAAAGGTTTCTTTTCATGGGAAGTGGCTGAGGGAGTGAAATGTGCTGGTAGTCTCCGAAGGATTTATGAAGAGGTAGGTGACTTTTCGTATGCATGCCTCGCTAAGGTTATCTTTATCGTCTTACATTTTGGGTATATGTTCCATTATGTCGAAAGGGAGAAAACACAATGAGATCTTTCTCACCAGATTTTGTCATATCTATTTTGCAGATAAGACATCAAAAGGATGTCTTTGGTCCGCACTGTGCCCAATTTTTATCTAATTACATATGGGTTTATTCAGGACATGGCCCCCGTAAAACAGGCATCAAAAGGTAATTTCTGGTACCTTAGATTATTTGTTGTTGTAATGTTCGTGAGATTCTTGATGAGCTCAAAAGGCATAACTGATAAGATAATTATACACTTGTATGTCTCAATTGTTTTTGTTATGAATTAGTACATTCAAAATTAGTACGTTATATCAACTCCCGCTGGCCTCGGGTTAAGGTGGAAGAGGGGTGAGGGTGTTGATCCTATGTTTATAAATCACTTTCTTCCCATTTTCTTCCCTCTTAAAACTTTTCCAGAAACTTGAGTTTGAACTTTGAAGTGATGTTGCCTTCCAATTTTTGTACAATGGGAGAATAATATTATAAAATAGATGTATGTTCAAGTGACCCATTACTATCTCCAAAAGCATTAACCTTTGGAGCGGACAATCTTGGATTGACCGACATACATTCATGTCATTCAGACTACCTGAACTATTTTATGTTCAATATTCAGGGAAATAGATGAAGCTCTAAGACCAGGTGTATACGCGCTAATAGATACTTGCTCACCAGACGATCTTCAACGTCTTCATACCATTTTTGGAGGTAAAACAATTTTAACTTTATCAAGGCTAAAATGTATGACTTGAAGGGCATTTAAATAGTCTCACATTTTCTTCTTGTTTGTGCAGAGGGTCCTTGCAGAAACACTTTGGCAACCTTAAAACATGATTACGAACTCAATTTCCAATACCAGGGAAAAGTCTAACCGAAGCTCTTTCCTACGGTGGGCTATACAGGCATCGTCATTTTGACATGACTACACAACTCTCCTAACATGTAAGTTGTAACAAATAGGGTAAAATGTAATGTATGATTATAAATTTGTAGTCATATCTTTCTCATTCTTTAAGCTACAAATGGTAGCAAATCCTCATTGAAGTTACAAAGCTCTGTTCATAATACAGACTTGGGCCTAACATATCTATGTTAATGGGCTGTCATCCCTTTTTGGGTCAGAATTTTGTTGCTTGTTTGAGCATAAGTTTAAGCATAAACGGTGCAACTTTAAACGTTTCCTCATTGTTTGTTGTCATAATATGTGGAAAATCTTGTCTTGTCCAATTGTTTGATTCATGTTGTCGTGGTATTAGAGCCTATTTACGAGTGTAAAAAGCACTTTTGCTCAAAAGTGTTTTTGTTAGAACTGCACTACGTACGACCTCTAACGATAGGATCATGATCATGATGTGTTTCTCACCTAAAATGTACTCCTCTACGCACACTCCTTATTCAGCTGGTCCCCTTTCATTTGGGATATTTAGTGATTCTATATTCCTAAATGGTATGATTAGGCAGCTGGTATGAAAACGATTGATTGAGCAACCACCAAACCATATGCTTAGTCCAAAAGAAAGCACCAGAAACTTGTGCGGTTGAGACCTATAAGATATACGCGCTAGTCCTTGTTTATATTTGTCAATTGGGTTTCAAATTTCAATTTCCATGTGCTTTTTTTTTTTCTCTGCAGAACATCAACTTCCATTGACAGAGGCCATTGAATCTTGATGGGACATCACTGTTGCAGAAGAGAGGCCCCCTCCTCATTCCCGGTTCTGGTTTTCTTGGCGGTGGCCGCTGTGCTTCTTCTTCTGTCGTCTTTGATCTCCTTCAATGTTGAAACCCCCACGTTTGAGATCAATTGGGGGCTCATAGCCATGCCGTTGCTGTTGCTAGCGGTTGTGCATTGGTTGTCGTCGGAAACTCCCAAGAAGCAGTGTTTTATGCCTCCACCGTGTTGGAAGTGTGGGCGCCCTTGCAAGTGTGGCTACTTCTGAAAAAGTGCCGCTGTAGTTTCAAGAGAGCTGGTTTGTCTAGTACTCATCTTAGACTCTTCTTGGTTTAATTATTGTATGTAATGAGTTAAGGTTGTTGGTACTCAATCAAATTTGGGTAAAATATGGTTGTAACATGATTCTGAATTCGAGAATATGATTGTAGATTTCGCATGTGTTTTTCTTGTATTCTTCACTATCCTCAGCTGGTGATTGATGGCACAAGCGAATCGAAATACTAAATTTTCGTCGATTAGCTCTTAGTCCAATGATAGTTCCGTTCTTATTCGACCTCCTCTCCAAAATCCTATTGATTACAGCTTACTCTAACCTTGGGAAAAACATAAAGGCTCAAACTCTAAAACCCTCCCAATCAGCCCAAGAACGAAAGGGGAGATATTGTGGTTCATGGTCTGTAAAAGAAACGTTGTTAGGTGCTCTGTTTCATGTCCCCATTGAGCCTAAACTCGTACACTGATAAAAGATGTATGGATTTTGAAGAAGAGAGGACCCATCAGAAAGTAAAGCTAAACATTTGATTGAATGAAAATTATATTTGCTTTGTGTATTCGAAGTGAGTTGTTTTTTCTTTCTCAAATCAAACGTTTAATTTGATCGTGTTGAGTGAATTCACGATTAGAAACGTTAAACTTTTCTTTGTTACTCTGATTGATTGATTTCCCCATACCTATCCCCCGTTCTTTCCATCCACCCTTGTTTCGTCCTGCAACATATTCCCTAGTCATCTGATGGTCAAGAATATTCACTGGTCACCTGCTCAACTGCGTCAGTATCAACTGAGTCAACGTCCGCTCTATTATTAAATTTTCATGTCCAGTGGAGGAATGGGGTTGTAATTATCATCGGGCTCAGAGGGTTGATATTTTAAGTTAAAGTGCCTCCACCGACTTTTTGCTAGGGCACACAGAGGGGATGGATGCATGCAACGGATTGGAAGCCTCCACCGACTCTTTGTTGGGACACATAGTGGATGCATGCAACGCATTGGAAATATGAAACGTAATTATTTATAATTTGTCATCCGAATAACATAAATTGTGTGACATAAAGTATGTGTAACAGTTAAGATTTATATATGAAACAATATGTTCTGATACTATAAAAAAAAGTATGAGATTTCATCATTAAATCAATTAACAATATAAAAAATAACTTAATTATTTATAAGTACATATAATATCCTCTTTTTTCTGCCACGAGATCAACGCTCTCAAGTTGATGACCTAATTGAAGGGAAGCTTAGCAATAGCTCTTAGTAACAGTGTAGGTACTAATTTTCTTTTCAATTCCAGAGCATGTTAAAGTTCAATTTCCTCCTTTCAATTAAAAAAAAAATGTCGATCAAATTTAAACAAAATTAATATTGGGAAAACATATATGTATTGTAGGAATCTTTTTAATCAAACCCATATTATGGGATTCATTTGCGGATCACCTTACAGAAAATCAATCTCAACAAATTCCCTTGTAACATAGGCAACGATTAAAATCGTCAAACCTTCTTTTCCTTTTTCTTGCACAAAAAATGGTAGAAGCTTAAAATATGTAAAATAAACTATATATATGTCTTTATCAATCACTGCATTTTTATCTTTATAATATTTACTGGAATCTCTTTCTTTTTGGCCGGTGCAGGTATCGTACGAGAGTTCATGTGCTTGAAAGCAGACACGTATGCATAAGTTAAACAACTCTTCTTATCTTATTGGTCTTGTTTTCCTTGTCGACCATTGCATTGCCCTCCACTTCACCCATCAAACCCCACAACTTTATTAAGCAATATAAACAAAGAAATCGAAAACCAAATATCTAAGCATATACTCTTAACAAAGAAACAATAATGTCATTTAGATACGTAAAATTGACTACATTAATGATGGATGAACTTTTCTAATTATGATTTGTATTAAATAATGCGTCGATAATGTGAACAATTTTGCCTTATCAAAAGCATTACTCAAAGAAATACTTGATCCTTTATATTTTTTAATTTCTTTAAACAAATCAGAGTTTAATAATGTGTGCAGAATTTTTGTTTTTCATAAATTACTTGTTTATGCGTGTGAGTCGGTGGTTTACAATAAAGGAGAAAATGACTTTTTTATACAGAAAACCCAAGCATTATTCTCTACTTAATTCGAAAGTTGCATACCTCCAAAACATTTACTCCCCAACCCACCATCTTTTGTCTATAAAACCACAAGACCTTGAATCCATAACAACCTCTTGAATAAATCTACTCTCTTTCCAACAACAAAAAATCTTCCCTCCAAATCACATGGCTTACTACAGAAGAAGCCAAACCAGCTCCTTCTTAGAAGGGTTTTCTCTAAGCCCTCTGCCCTACCCAGTACTCCTAATCCTGGCAGTGATCTCCATCTTCTTGGGCATCTCATGGTACTCCTCCTACGAGTCAGCTGTGGAAGAAGCTGAAGGGCAATTCAATTGGGTGCTTTTGCTCACGCCAATATTTCTCATCCTCATTGTGAAGGGGCTCTCATCTATGGATCCTGGTTGGCTCTTCTCCATGTCGCCGTGGGACCGCCGCCGGAGGACTCACCATATACCTTCAGAGGGAAGCTCACCTTGGGGTGTTGCTGCTTTCATTATTCTCTTGCTTGTTTTGCTGCAATACCAGTCTTCTTTTCGTGATAGCTGGCTCATTTAATTAGCATGCGGATGTAGTAGGATTGTTTGTTTTTTTTTATGCTCTGAGTTCAAGTTTTGTATGTGTATATTGGAGCTGTATATAGTGAAGTTTGATCTTCTACTTCAAATTTCTGTGTTGCTTTTTACTTTCATACTAATCATGATAAAAATTTCATGAAAGAAAGAGATGCAAATGTTTATATTGTCTGATTTTGAATTTAGACTCACAGTTCAAGAAAAAATGTAACATAATCTGTGATTTGAAATGAAAGTATCTTATGTTGTTATGTTGTTGTCATACAGTTTGTCAAAAAAAAAAAAAAAAAAAAAACGTTTCCTTCTTTATTCCATCTATATGTAATATGATCATTGTGGGTTTTAGGTTCTTCCGTTATATGTTTCTCTAATTGTTTCATTAGCCTAATTTGCTTGCTTGGGAATAATAAGTAACTGTCCAAAGTACGTATTATAGGCAAACTTTATACTTAAGCTAGGGTTGTTGTAATTTGTAAGTGATCATATTTATAGAAACATGAAATAGGTAACCTATTTGAGTATGTGAAAAAAAATTATCCCACATCAGAAAAGTAACTTAAAAGGAATTTGATAATTCCGATCACGTTGCCAGTTGATTTTGGGATGAAACCTTCAAATATTCATAAAGTTGTGTTGAGGCATCGTGAGACTTGAGTACAATCAAATAAGTCAATTGCTTGATCCGTTTGCTCTTCATATGAAGTTTGTCCTATTAGTTAGACGAGGGGCCAAATAGACTCGTGACTCATATTAATAATTAATAAGAATGTTACTTGTTACACTCAAATGCATATGACTAAAATAATTTGATCTTACTGATACGAAGAAATATATGTAGCAAGTACATGAACGGTTCTGATAAAAAATAATTAGATAAGCAACTTATGTGCTTCAAGGTTATGAGATAATTGTCAAGCCGGCCAGCCAAAAGACAAGGAATTTAGCCTGGTAATGTCCTCATATTGTGTATTTCGTTTTCAGCTATTTGTTTACGTCTGACTTCTCTCACATCTGTAATCAAACTTTGAAAACAACCCGCCCTAACCCATTTAATTATAAATTAACCCAAACCAACCCTACCGACACCTGTCTTTGTCGTCGACTGCTCTTAGCAAACCGACCCTTGAATAATCAGGGACTCTTATAGATAATCATAATCCTTACCTCAAATAATATATCAGGCCAAATTAGTAAGGGCATATTTTAGATTCAGGTTTTTATCATAAATAGTCTCTGAAATTGACGATCATCATCAAGATGATCCTTAAAATTGAAAATCAATTAATGTAGTTCCTGAAAATAGGTGTCACAAATCAATGTAGTTCTTCCATCACAATTTTGTTAAGTGCTGATGTGGCACATAAATGAGTCTCATAAGTCATTTTTTCTCATAAATGATCATTGAAATTGACCCGCGACATGAAAATGGTATCTAAAATTGACCTGCGACATCAAAATGGTTCCTAAAATTGAAAATCGATCAATGTAGTCCCGCAAGTAAATGTCCCAAATCAATGTAGCATTTCCATTACAATTCTGTCAAATATTTTGTTAAGTGCTGATGTGACACATAAATGAAACACACAAGTCTAATTAAATTTAAAAAATTACAAATAAGTTTAATAATTTAACAGTTAATAAAAATTTGTGAATCCAAAAATCCAAAAAAAAGGTGTGGTTATCCTCAGAACGACCTTATCATGAAACATGTATGGATTATAAACGTCATGAAAGCATCTTATTACTTTTCAAGAAAATGGAAAACAAATGGCGGACAAATGGTGGGATTCCATTGATCAAATGTAGCTGTTGATGAAATGAGAAGGCAAGGAATAGTGAACTTTGTCCTGGTTGAAGCAATCCATATGGAATAATGGATGTCATTAATAGACCATTAATCATAACAATGGAAGAAGATATTCGTCAGGGCTATCTTATTAGGAGAAAAGAGCAGGGATCGCATGAAATTGAATGAGATAAAATACAATAAGGTCTTATGAGAGGAGAGGGTATTCTTATACAAATTTTCTATAATAATACAAGCAGATATTCGTTACAACTGTCTGGTTAGGGTAATTTTTTCTTGAGTGGGGATTGAAGGAGATTGGATGAGACCAAATACAATAAAGTATAATGCTCTTATAAGAAGTGTTGAATAAATGACGTGGAAATAAAAGGTCTCCGTACACAAGTTTGCTTTCTACCTTTGGAAATGTTATGGAAAATTAAATGAAAACCAACAGGTCATATAACTTTGGAGAGCCAAACAAGTGGACCAATCAAGGAAAAAAACAAACGAATACAAGTGGATCAAAACAAGAGAAGAATCGATTATAACTCTCCACCAATTACTCAATCAATGGAAGACTTTCCAAGCCCTAAAAAACAACACATTTGAAGATAATAATATATCAACAAGATTTCTGCTCAAAAGAAAATAATCAGTTTCTACTACAAATCAATAACTTAGACTCTAATAAAAATTATTCTCTCTAAACGTTACGATGCTTCCTTTTATATCCCATAATCTTAATATTTCTCTGCTCAGCCTAATCCATAATTTTCATCCTCAGAACAAGAAGAAGAGGAAGAGCATAACCTTAACTCTTCTTCTCTTCTTCTTCTTAATCTTTAATTCTTATTAACAATGGGTTCCTGCTTCCCTAAACAGCTCGAACGCCGGAAGGCGATCTCAACGGAGGGGAAAGCACTACGCGATCTCCACCAAAGCGTTGGTGAGGACTTCCCAGCATGTGCCTACAGGCCTCCAGACAGGAAAAATTGGATGGCGGGAATCAACCCGAAAAAAGTTCACATAAACAAAATTGTATGGCCGGGAACTCATGATTCTGCAACCGACAAGATTGGAATTCCATGCATCACTAGGCCTTTTGGACAATGCCAAACAATGTCTATATACAAACAGCTTGTCACAGGCACCAGAGTGCTTGACATTCGGGTTCAAAAAGATCGCCGGGTGTGCCACGGAATTCTTATCACGTACCACATTGATGTTGTGATCAAGGACATTAAAAAATTTCTGTCCGAAACAAAGTCTGAGATCATACTCCTTGAAATCAGGACGGAATATGGGCACCAAGACCCTCCTGATTTCGATAAGTATTTGGTGGATCAGCTCGGAGAGGTCCTTATCAACCAGGACGACAATGTGTTCAACAAGACTATTTCAGAGTTGTTGCCGAAGCGAATAATATGCGTGTGGAAGCCGAGGAATTCACCTTCCCCTGAGGCAGGGGCGCCTCTGTGGAATTCTGTCTACTTGAATGATGATTGGATTGACACGGATTTGCCATCAACGAAATTCGAGAACAATTTGAAGTGTTTGAGTGAACAACCTCCAATTTCATCAAGGAAATTTTTTTACAGGGTGGAGAACACAGTGACACCTCAGGCTGATAACCCTATTGTGTGTGTTAGACCTGTGACCCAACGGATTCACGAGTTTGCGAGGTTGTTTATAACGGAGTGCTTCTGTAGGGGTATTGCAGATAGGTTGCAAATCTTCTCTACTGATTTTATAGATGAGGATTTTGTTGATGCATGTGTTGCTGTTACGTACTCAAGAATTGATCACGGGAAAGCCTGATTTTTCATCTTAGCTTGTGTCATGTGTAGCTTTGTCTTTGTTGATGGCAACCTTCTGCAAATATTCAACGTGTAAAGTTGTGTATCCATACCGTTGACACTTTCGGATAGACACAATTGTTGAAACTTTGCCTATCCATACCGTTGTGTATTTACTTCAAAAGGGAAAATAAAACAAAATAGTAATGATGCTAAAATGCACAGGCATTCGTTTATCCAATTCCAACCCATTACATCTTTTAGTTAACAAACGATTTAATCAATCCGACCTCCCACCAAACCACTTGGAATGAACCGATGATAGGTAAGACCAGAAGCAGCACCAACAAGATGGCAACACCCCACAGCGAGTTTGAGCTGCCACCCCTGCCTGCTCGTTGAACTGCCTCGCGCTGTGAAGGCCGGTACCTGAAGTTGAACCATCCGGTAGAAGAAATCGAAGAGTACAAAGCTACCAAAAATATCAAGAAAATAGGCAAGGATATTAGGAAAAGGTGGGCGTTGATGGCTGTGTGTTGCATTTGGGACTTGTAGTCGGTGTACTGAGAAAGCCATAAGAAAGCAATAACAATGGCAAAGATGGTGAGCAAATGTAGGGGAGGTGCAGAGATTGAGGTTAGGGTTTGGCCGGTCCAACCTTGCTTCCACCGTGGGCCCCTCCTCTTAGGGTAGAACCACTCCATCCTTGTCTTCCTCCTTCGGTCTCCTTGCAGCTAGGGTTTCTCTGTGTGCGCGTGTGTGTGTGTATAAGAGGTAAAAAGAGAGGATGTGGGTTTTTTGGCTTGAGTTTTACATTAGGTTGTGGGTTTGGCATATATGCTTTGAGTGTAGGCTTTGCTTCTCACAAAGTTTTACTTTGAACAAATGCTCTCCCTAGATATGCAAGTAATGGTTGGTGACTAATCATGTGATTGATTGCCTAATTGGCGTTGATGTCTTTGATTAGTTGCTCCTAAATTCTAGAGAAACTTTTCAATGTGACTCTCACATCGGGTTTACCGATCCAAGCTTTGATATAACACGCGTATCTAATTACTAGGAGTAGACCCAACATCCATTAAATACCGACCCTATCATCTAGCTATATTATAAGACAGTGGATTAGTAACGTCATGTGTCAGGTAACACACCAAAAAAGTTTCTTGTTTTACAATATTGATCCACCAAATTCAGTACGCCAGAATTCAATTGAGATTTAGGGCAGGAAAGAGAGGACCCCAAGATGTGGATTTGATTACGAGAGGACCCTTTTGTTCAAAATGTTTATGCCACATAATATGACTTGTATTGCTCTCTAATGTCCACCACACAATAAGTGACCGATGGAAAATGGATAGAAGATATATTTTCCTATCTTTATGGAGGGGGAAAACACTTCAAAAACGACCCAGGAAAAAAAATTCCTTATGATAAACTGGCTCGTACATTTGTTACAATATGCTTCAATCTCAAGGTACCTTCGCATCGGCCCTTTATTTGATCTCGGAACCACCATAATCAAGCAGCAACTTTCTTGGCTGTCACAGCGTTGACGATAGTAGCAAATTCAGGGCCCTGGAGGAAGAAAACTCAACTTGTTAGTGTCATTTTTGTAAAAGTTGCAACCAAAAAAAGATGGTTCTAAACCACGTAATGCTTTTCGCCTTCGTGTTTGAAATCTCAACGCAAATAATTGCAGGGGTATACCTTTAGGGAAGCACCGCCAACAAGAAAACCATCAATATCTTCCTTCTTTGCAAGCTCAGCAGAATTGCCTCCATTTACAGATCCTGAAATCATATCCAAATTCAGTTAAATCTACTACCGGCACTCAGATATTCGTCCAGATCTAAGACTGGAATATCCTGACCAGCTGACAGCTGAGCGGAATCATTATGTTCAAATGATATTTACAACAACGACAATTTGAATGTCTCCTAAAGTTCTTTACATCTTACAGTCAAAGCATCAACGATGCCATTATTGCCAAGCCAAACACCAAACTCACACAAAATTTCAAGGTGAAGTTAAATCCATATATCAACAGGCCCCTCTTGAGCCGAAAGTGTATAACTAATTTAAGTTGCTCAACCGCAGCAGTGCAATTTTTAACAAACAGACCCTCAATCAGAAAGTTGCAGGAAAAAAGTTACCTCCATAAATAATTCTTGTTTTAGATGCAACTTCTGCTGACACATTCTGTTTCAGCCAATCACGAACAGCTACATGTACTTCCTGAGCTTGTTCTGGACTGGCTACCTTACCAGTCCCAATGGCCCATACAGGCTCATAAGCAACAACTATCTTATCCCAGCTGGGTACTGCGTCTGTGCATAGGAGACATGGGTTATACAAAGGATAAGCTGAATACCTTGACTACACAATCACTAAAAAGAAGGGTGAAGTTACCTGCAAAAGCCTTCAGCTGCTGAAAGCAGACGTCAAAAGTTTTCCCAGCTTCCCTTTCTTCTAGCTTCTCACCAATGCAAGCAATTACTCCAAGACCCTCATTCAACGCATAGGCAGCTTTCTTTCCTATAAACTGTAATAAAAAACTTCAGTTACATTTTGAATACTTACAATAGATCAGAAAGTTCATAAATTTTTTTATTCAGGACACCTCCGTTAAAATTTAAACAAAAGATTTTCAAAGCATTCACCTGGTCATCTTCACCAATCACATGTCTCCGTTCTGAGTGCCCAAGAATAACCCAAGTGGCTCCAATATCCTTCAATTGTTCCACACTGCAAAATGAAAATGGTACTAGTAATTATGTAAATTCATCAAACTGAAAACACGGACGGAAGTGTGCTAATGCATTCATAAGAGAATCATCAGAGACCCATGTCACCTCAGAGCTTATATACACTACTGTTATAAGATATGGATGTTTGAGTCGCAATCTTGAAACAGACCACTCACTTTCCTTGAAGTACAAGGACTTAATAACCCTGTGGAATTGATTCTAAATTCAAACAGGACTTGAATAATGTTTAAATTCATTTATATTGAAAGAAAAAAAAGAAGTATTCCATACATAATTGGAGAAGAGCTTCGAAAGGGGGAAAAACAGAAACTATGAAACCGCTACCCAGCAAGTTTAAAATGTCATAATGAGAATAGTCTCCAATCAACACAACCAAAGATCATACATCCATTGCAAAATGAAAGTACATGTATATGTGAAAAAAAAAAAAACTACTAGTAATTTAACAAGGAAGAGAAACTGACCTGATTTCTCCTGTGAAAGCCCCACCTTTTCCAACCCAGGAATTTTGACCAGATAACTCAATACGATCTGTTAACGAGCTCTTCACCTGATCTAAGTAAAGAAATGGTGGTGCTACAACAACATCTGTACATGTTATAAGAAAACCAAAAGTTAACAACACTAAACTTCTTAAATGATATCAATACAAACTTGATTTTACACATATGAAACCATTATGTACATGCAAAGTAACATGTTGGACTTGCCACCCTTGAACATCTATGACCAACACCTTTTTGGCCGTTGTATATGGTTCCAAGTTTCTTACCTAGATACAATTCTATCGCTGCCTTATTTTCTGAAGTCATATCACCTAAACTTATTTTTCACTTCCATTCATGCAGAGTTATCTTTCTACCCAATTTTGGTCATTCTTCATGTATAAGTAAAGACAGGATAAAAGCAATATTTTAAATCAACTGCAAACTGAAAGAGGTATATAATGAAGATTAAACATAGCATTATCTCACCGACATCCGGTTCCAGTTTTGCGCTGTTCAAGTCGGCAACTAGCTTGCTGATGGAGTCTTTTGTGCCATTCTAAAAGACAGGAAAAAAAAAATGAAGATAAAAACGTCAAAAGAAGAACCGAACCATACTAAAAGGGTTTCAAATTTGACTACTTATATACATCTTCAACATCCAACAAAAGAGGCTAAGAATATAGATTAAACAAAACAGGTTATACAAATTTTGAAAAACTTATTAATTATGTATCACTGAAATTAACAACTAAAATTAAAATACCAGGGCAGCATTGTGCCGGCTTTATATTTAAAATCCATTGAAAAATGGTAGTTTTTTACAGATGCTCTATCAAGGAACCGCGCAAATTCGTTGAACAAAAAACAAAGCAAATAGACAATGCAGCAAAAGTACTTACACACTTCCAGTTTCCACCAACAAAGAACTGCAAGAAAAATAAAAGATACAATCAATTAGTAAACTCCGGAAAGGAGACCCCATAAATATGAATAACTATGAATACATCGTGTGAAAATTTCCAGAAATTTATAGTGAAGGACAACTGCATTCTGAGTATAAGTACTAAAATGTTCAAAATTTCTAGGAAAATCCAATAGAAAATATGAAATTTTAATCGATTAAGATCGAAGGTCCCTCCTTTCAATTTTCTCGGAAACCAAACAAAAGACAAGGACGCGATAACAAGAAGGAAGCTGGAGTAATAGAACTAATAATCTACCTTTCCAGTGCCGGCCATGGCGACGACGCCTCTGGAGGCCTTGCGGGAGGAGGAGGAGAGGCGGAGGTGGGAGTGGAGGTGCTGGAAGAGGGATTGGGTAGCGGAGAGAGAGTGAGAGGATTCGAGCTTGGAGCACGACGGCCGGAGGCCCGAGTAAGAGGAGAGAGATTTAGGGCCTGAGAGTTGGGAGGCTAGAGATGTGGAGGCCACCGCCATGGCTGCTGACTCAGTGAGTTGGGAGCTTCCGAGTCGGGGGTGTTTTACTTGTTTGGTGCGAGTGAGGTAGTGAGTCAGAGAGCGAGAGAAACTTCGCCACTTGTGGTGGTTAGGTTTTATGGTAACCAGAAAGGGTTGTTAGGATAGGAGCCTTCACGCGGTTGCTAGACACGTCAATTGCACGCGACTTCAATTTTTTTTTTTTTTTGACCAGCTAACAATCTAGCTTTGGTTTTTTAACCGGTGGTTTGTCAGGTACCAACCAACGGTCGCCTAGCTTATTCCCCTTAAAAAAAAAAAGAAAAAATAAATACAACTGTTTGTACCTTACTTGACTAATCCCGAAATTACTAAACATTGGTCAACTTCATACCTTCAAGGATTCATGTTGAGGCACCCCTGTTGAAGCACTTTCCCACCAAGAGGCCAATCACAGAACGACATGTGTTAATGTCAGAATAAAACTTCTAGAGTCCCACATCAATTGTGGACGAAAACCGAAGACCTTCCTCAACTATAAAAGAAGACCATTCTTCTATAATTAATCTCTAATGTCATTATTGTACTTAAACTAGTCATTAGAACTCACTAATGATGAGAACTGCTTTACTCTGTAGACGTAGCCAAACTTAAAGTGAACCACGTACATCTTATGTTTACTTCTATATCTGTCTCTTTACATATTATCTTTATTAGATGATCGGAGTAACCGAACTAAGGTCATAAACTTGACACTTTATGTTGCTAAAAAATCTCGTTGATTTTGTTCATCAACAAAAATAAAAAGTGAATCGAAAAGTAAAAATGTACGTATTTACACGTGCATTTCAAGTGTTTGACTTGATTCTCTCTCCTAACGTGGTTTATCAACCTAGGTGTCATCTCAAAACAACTTTAGGCTCATCCACTAAGATTGTGGGTAGAGCAGCTGTTGCCTATTCATTTTTCTGTGTTCAACTTAGAACGACGTCAAAAACAATGTCATTTGATGGATTTAACTATAATTTATGATAAATATTATATTAAGGATGAATGATATCATTTTGGACCTTCAAACACGAAGAATGTGAGATATTGAGAAATTTAATTGAGAGCAGTTAAAAGTATTTTTCTTAGCACTTGAAATTCTCTGTTCGGTTCTCTCCTGAAAATTGATTGTTGACAAAAATTAAACAAAAAAGTTTGAGTAATATGCATCTTGAATTGAAGTTTGAGTAGAAACCAAGAAACAGTTGGAAAAACAGTTGAGATAATGAGGTCAAGTTTGCCGCTTTATTTTGTCTTTTCATTGAAGTTAAGCACAGCGTACTAAAGCGACAAAGAAGGATATTCAATTTGGATATATTTCGGTATTGTTTCATGCATTACAGTTGCATCATCATATTCAGCACTCAAATTGCAAATACACTGGCATCCAAGAAGTACGCCTTCCAATCTCTCGGAGTAAATTTTGAGTTCAAATCTCATAAAAAATTCCGTCAAAGCATCTCATGCGCTCAAATTTCATGAACGAGTGTTGTCTCTATTGAGTTGCCTGCATCGGAGTACGTTTTTCTCCTCTCCGACCAAATTTCGCCGTTCACTCAAAGTGTTTGGATTGGATGCAAAACTCATTTCATCCGTTTATCGAATTTGTGGCTTTCATTGGACATTTCTTTGTATTCATGCAATGCAAGCACCCCACTCTTGTATCCCTTTCAGCATTTAAGGTCCTCCAAATGGTTTCACCAATCACAGCCCCCGTGCCATCTCGTATTTTGCCCTTTTTGGACCTCAACCTCACAAGATTCACGATTACGACACGCTTCCTTTTAATTTTATCCCAAAATATCTACAGATCAGATTCTTCTGGGAAAACAACGTAAAACTTTCAACCACAGCCGCTCATCTGCCTAAGAATTAAGAAATGATAAGTTTTGGTCTCTTTTGTATTATACATGCTACAATTTCATGCTTGAAAATCACGTCCAAATGTATTTGGACGTAAATTATACCCCGATCGACTTTGATCCAAGAATTATGTACATTATGATAGTTCATCTCGGTCGTCCCCATGGCGCCCATGTACCCGAAATTCACCTTCTCCCTCATGATGAACTGCAAAAACCGTAATAAACCAGAACCAGATACCATTGATAAAAAAACTCGACCCTCGCATTAGAACATTGAAACATTATCTGCATCCAACGAGTTCTCCCACTACTTCATGCATTATGTTCCATGCTAATATGCCAATACATGAACTTAACCAGGAATGATGTAAATCCTTCCTATTTTCCACGGGATATGCATATTAGAGAGTTTGAGGATGTCGTTAGTACATTTTATAACCGACCTGATGCAATTGATACCATAAAATAATAACAAACTCTATTCTCGTTAAATGAAAAAAACAGTTGGTTATATTCTTTGATGGCTAGGTCTACACGTAACACGTTCTTGAAGTGAGATGACTCGTGCATTTTTCATAGATATTTTCCAAATCATAAGACAATGGCTTTAAAGAGAATAAATAAAAATAGAACCTGCCTTGTTCTGTTCTTTGTTAACCCTTTTTCTCCTTTTCAGTCGTCAGCCTTTTTGCCACCAACTACACTATTAGATGAGCTATCCTGTACACTACGAGAAGAAGAACATCTACTTGACGAACTGCCTTCTCTGTTTTCCAGCCTCGCTGACTTTTTAGATTTTCTTCGTACTGATGACAAATCCTACAAAACAATGAAGTTAGGTAAATGAGGACTGCCATTCCCAAAAATGTAAAATGAAACCAACAAGGTCCATCGTAATTGCGTTAAAATGATTGTATAGCTTTATATCTTTCACAAAACAACTTAAACATTAAAAGGCTACAGCTAACCTGATCCGAAGTAGATCCGGGAGTCTTCAACTCTAGTTCTGTAGTGACATCGATTGAATCATCACTTTTGTGAACCTGGCTCTCCCCAGGTGATTTGTTTATAGCATCTTGTTTGCCTGAAACTTGAGACTGGCTTCCTGGATGCACTATTGGAGATATATATTGGGTAGACTGCTGCTCAACCAGAGTATTAGGAGTAATATATGGAAGATAAGTTGAGCAGGGGTTCGGAATGACCCCAGGATTCTGATTTCCGAAATAATGGTATGGCTGCATATGTGGATGCACGGGCATTGGTCGTGCAGGCATTTGCATGGGCATTGGCATTGGCATTGTCATCGGCATCGGATATGGATATGAAGGTGGAGCCATTACAACTGAGTGATCCATAGCACCCCAAGGGAACATAGTCCTGAGTCTCTGCTGATACTGAGCATTAAGGTTCTCAATGTCAGATTTAAGAGATGCCTTCTCTTCTCTAAGGTCATTTTTCTCATGTGTCAACTGTTATTAAAATAAAACAGTGATTAGGTGTCCAATAAATGAATCCAACATATCTGGACATAATTCACCAGAGTACAGAGATAATTACTAAATCACCTCACGAGACTCTTCGGTTAGAGAAACACACTCAGATTTAAGTTTGTCTACTTCTAATGTCAAATCCTTCAGCACTTGAATTGTATCCGCTATAATGGTTGCTTTGTCATTTTTGGGTCTGTCCGGATCTGCATTTTACACATGTAAATCAACGCAAAAGTATGTGCTACTCATGTCTCCAGCAAGGAAAGAAAAAGTGAAAATCCATAAGTGTGCATCATACTAAAAGTTATGGTAGTTATGCAGGAAGCATAAAGAAGTTCATCAGTAAGATATAGTCCCCCATCAATCTGGCCCAAGTTTCCAAACTTCTAGATCATACTCCCCAAACTAGAGTTCAGAGCATAGTTAACTTGACTCAGGTTTCTCATTAGAAACTTTATCTTAGAAAGATACTAGTTATCCATAAGGGTCAGATGAAAATTTCGGTGACAAATACTTCTCCGCATAGCACTGACTCCAAAAAAAAATGCGATACAAATGTACTAAGAAAATGAAGCATTTCTTAGAACTTAGAAGGCTGTTCGCATAACCAGAAGAAGGAAATTGAGCAAACATGCAGTGAACTGCAGAACACAAAACTTTCATATGCAAGTCTATAAAGAGTAGGGGGTTAATAAATGCGTGCCACAATTCGAATATGGCACTCAGCTCTGTAAGGAAACTCAAGTATAAGTAGTCTATCTATACATACTTCACTATCACGAAATAATACAAAAACAGAATTTGACAATAGGCTATAGCAATACTCATCTGGACAGAGTTACAGATATCAAAGTATCAAAATCTCTATCTATGGTTATCTATGTCATAGCTGAACTTCATCACATTATGAGGCATTCAGAAAAGAACCGGTTATTAGTCGATTATTGATATATTCACAAAAATTAAATAGTTATTTTTATATAGTGCTTTTATATAGTGCTAAGCTCACCCAAGACATTTCCCAACTCAAGAAACTGCTCATTTAGTCGATCCCTCCTCAACTTCTCCCGGTCAGCCTTCTGAATCTTTCTAGCAGTCAGACAATCCTTAACTTCCCCCTCAGGCCTTTGGCTGCAAACAGTAATCAATCATGATGCTTTAACATACATTGATCACAAGGTAACCCACCAATAATCTCAGTGTACCCCGAAAGTCAACTACTTTTAGGTAATGGTAATGCAGAAAGTCAACTAATGAAAAGGCTTTTTTTGCACACATTCATTTGCTAAGTGGATTCACAACAGAGAAGTTGCACACAGCAAAACACACAATAATCCGTTAAACTAGCAAGCAAGGGGCTTGTAGCTCAGTTTGTTGGAGCATTCTCCCTCGCAACCTTCTGGGGCCCCAAGTTTGAATCCCCATTACAACCAAAATCTTAAAAAATGTGTTTAGCACAGTAATTAAGCAGAATGTAAGCAAACCCATGTAAAAAAAAAAGCACCATTTGGACTGGAAAGCAAAAGTTATTGAAAATTAGCTCAGCTAGAAACAAACCCAGAAAAAGATAGCTATATAGTTCTAATTTTCAACATTTAATCTGATGCTGCTGCGATAAAAGGGCAACAAACATAAATTTTCATAAACATAATATATATATATATATATATAGGATCTGGAATCGTAAAGAGCAGGACGAACCTTGAATTGGGTTGGGAGCGAGTTGGGGGCACGCCGCGATCGGAAGCGGGCTGCGGAAATTCGGCGGCAAATGAGAACGGAGGCGGCGCGGATTGGTTCAAGTCCTCGTGTTTGAGCTGATCCATGAGAGAGAGAGAGAGTCTGTCTACATGGTGGAGGAAGTAGATGAAGAGAATTGAAGGCAGCACATTGTTTTCAGGTGTCGTGTGCAAATGCAATTTGTAAAGTGCGAATCTTATCTGCCAGAACGTTGTTTTTTTGCTTCTCTGGTGACAGACTCGCAGTCGCCCGGTGCCACCGGGCATCTGACTCCCTTTAATTCTTCTTTTTTCGCCTAATTTTTGCTTCTTCTATTTTTTTAACAAATGTATTTTGGTAATTTTGTTACAAAGTTAAATAAATATAAAAATAGTTATTATACCGAGATTTTCTGTAATAAAACTCTCAAACTTGACTTGGTATGCGTGATAAAGTTCAAGTTTTAGAATAATATTATTGTAGTTAAAGTTTTTCATAATAGTTTGAGTGAGTGTGATACTTATATGTGAAAATGAGGTAGTTTAATACTTATATGCTATTGTTACACTAGCGTAAATTCAATTTACTGATATACCACTCATGAGTTTAATACATTGGTATTAATTCATGAGTTTAATATATCATTATCATACTTCAATTATTCGGCCCATTGTAGAAAATTTATGTTTATGAAAGGCCTAATAGTGTGTATTTCAAACAATACTTTTTACCAATTTACTATAAGATGATTCTATTATAAGAACCAAGAATTCAAGGGTGAATTTCATGAGTTTTTTAATTTTCTAAAATTCTCATAAAAATTATCTATTTCTAAAATCCATTTATTATTAAACAATGTATTGAATCAATGAACTCTCTCATGAAATAAAAAATTAAAAAAAAAACTTCTTATTTAAATATTTTCAATGAGGTTATGAGTTCAAATGTATAGACAACTTTTTTTTTTTTATAACAAAAAGGATCTTTTAGTTTAAATATTAATTTTTAGATTATTTTAAACTAAAGTATTATTATTTTAGTTTAGGCAATGGGTCCACGGATGTCCCGACTAATTGGGCTGAGGTGGGGAAGGATTTTTGAGTTATGGGGGATCTAATTGCCCGATTGCTTAGGCAATTGAGATGCGGTGGAATTGCTCTAATGAAAAAATCAACCAAAATAACTTATACATACCATTATAACTTAATATAATTACATAATTATCACGTAATTCTACCACGGTTTATGACCGGCCAACTTTTTCACGACCGATCAATCCAATTTTTTGGCCCGCGGCCAATCCAATTTTCCGATCTCAATATAATTGCTCAAAAATGATTTTCAAAAAAAAAAAAAAGAAGTTAAGTGATGAATTTTCTCAACAAAACAAAAAACTTACTCAACAGAACATAATTCAAGATGTTTAAAGTTGAACATATTGCTATTTTTTAAGTCATTGTTGAACATTGATATTGTTGTAGGCATAATTTACTGAACAATTATGGAGGTCACATTGATATTGTTGTAGGCATAATTTACTACAATTATGGAGGCCAGAAAGAGAGAGAGGGTGCGGCATAGAGAGAGAAAGAGAGAGATGTGTAATTGTGGGTGTGTGTTATTCCACCCCTTTGTGCCTTTAAGTAGTAAGGAATGTTAATTCCTTACCCTTTAGGATTACAATATTTAATAGGTAATCTACTCTTAAGATATATTTTCATATCTACTAAAATTTACACAATCACATTTCTATTCCAATAGAATTGCAACATATATGAAATTTTCCAGCGACCCAAAAATTGATATCGGTGCCAGTGGCATATGAGTTATGTTATTGGAACAAATATGTAAATATTCCTATACTTATAAATGCACTGGCCACAAATTATGGCTTTATCCAAATTAAACAGGATGAGGATGTTATAGTTTTCCTTAAAATCTGTCTTTAAATTTGAATTTGCCTAATAAAAAATATATATGTCCAGTCTCAACATAAAATGTCACGCCCCATATTCGTGGTGGGTGCAAAACTTAACTCCATCCTCGGTGTGCGAATAAATAAATAAAAATGAAAATAGACGAAATACGTGGTTGAAAATAAACTTCTTTTATACAAATAGCTCCAAAAACGTTACAATTGTACTAAATAAATAACAAAACTCTATCTCTCTTGTCTTACTTACACAACCTCAGCTTGTCTAGCCCGTCATATAGATATATTCCTCCAAAAAATTAAAGGGTGAGGGTGAGGAACAACCACTGTCACTAGTAAATAGAATATGTAATATGATAGTCAAGCGATAATGTTTGCTCACGCTAGAAAATAGTATAATTATATCAAAAGTTTTATCACATATCATGCCACATAATTCCACATCACATCATCCATTCACGTGTTTGTTATCCTTCATAATATGCAGCCCACTGCATGACCCCTATATTAGCCATTTTGCCCTACCATCCCGTGCCCCATACATTTATTTCTCAGATGACCCAACACTAAAATTATCATGCTCCATAAATAGTCTCAACAATCCACATAACGTATTTATATATACACCTCAAAATATATACAAATATGTGACATAATATATACAAATATTACGCATTGCAAGACTACTACTATACATCCATGCAACGTGACTAAAGATTGGCATAAATAATAAAAGGGAAGTGTTATTGGCACTTCAAAAATCTCATTCTACACTTTTTACAAGTGTATTTTTCTTTCCAAATATAGAAAGTTTGGAGTATAGAATGAAATTTTTGAAGTGTTAATAACAATTCCTATAATAAAATTGTGAAATGGACTACTACTTATAATTTTATAGAATAAAAAAAAAAGCGGCTACAACCTCCTGCTAATTGGTGGGCTTTGGCGGCTATAAAAAAGTTGGCACGAAGGTGCAAGTGTTGTAGAGAAGTCTGATAAGAATGTAACGCAAATATAACAACTAAGCTAGGTGATAGTGTTGCCATAAAGTGAAGTTGTCAAATGCATGGCTCAAATGCCACCCAGTATATAATCTAGTGGTATTTTTATTCTTTTGTAAGTGAAAAGTTTTAGATTTAAATCTCGTGGATGGTAAATCCAATACTAAATTAGATTGTTCATTGTATGATTAAACCGAACTTCCCCTCTCTTTAATGTAAAATATACCATTGTGCTAAAAAAAAATGCATGGCTCAAATGGAGGACACGTCCACTAAATAACTTCCTATAATCATCAAAATAGAATGCTCAGTCGCTCAATCTATTTCAAGATATGAATGAATTGCATTGCTAAATAAAAATAGGTAGAATCGTTTTTCTAGCACAAAGGCATCACGGGGAAACCCCAAGCCCAAACTAGAAGATAATATGTATATATAAGAAAATCTAATAAAAAGTCTTTTTAAATGATAACTATCTATTTTACACATGTTATGCATGTGCGTATTAAAAGTTTGAAAGTAAAATTTACAAAGTAAAAGACTATAAAATGGTCGCTAAAACTTATTAGTGATGATCTTCAAATAGTGTTTCGTCGATCAAGAATTGTTCATATTTAGCAACTGTTTTGGATAACTATTTTATCACTAAAATTTATCTTATATGGGAGAAAAATGCGAAAGAAAAGATAGGGGCAAATGATATGGTTACCTAGTTGTGGGCCTTTAAAAAATAGTAAAATTATTTTGTATTTAATTACTATGTTGCCCACAATTCTTATTTTGTTTATTTTTATTTCGTTTTGTTGACAATGTTAATTTGGTATTTTCATCTTTTTTTGGTCGACTAAGAGAATTTTATTAATAAATAGTTTAACTAATGAATATATAGTTAAAAAATACGGAGTCTCACATAAAATTAACGAATACTAGAATATATGAATCTACATATATATAAGAGAATGGAGCCATCCATCTACGATGTGCGAATTGAAGGCAACACATTGTTTTCAGGTGTCGTGTGCAAATGTAATTTGTAAAGTGCGAATCTTATATGCCAGAACGTCGTTTTTCGCTTCTCTGGTGACAGACTCGCAGTTGTCTGGACCTATCAACATTTGACTGCCTTTTCTTCTTCTTTTTTCACATAATTTTTGCTTCTTCTTTTTATTTTTTGATTTGGTAATTTTGTTACAAAGTTAAATAAATATAAAACTCATATAGAGGAAACTGATAAAATTATATTAACTTAAATAGTTATTGTACTGAGATTTTCTGTAATAAAACTTTCAAACTTGACTTGGTAAGCGTGGTAAAGTGCAAGTTTTAGAATAATATTACTGTAGTTAAAGTTTTTCACAATAGTTTGAGGGAAATCTTTAAGGGAATGAATTTTTGTTTAATTTTTTTTTTTTATAAAAATGTGGATTACTTGCCTTATTATCCCTGTGCCCTGTACATATATCTCTCGGATGACCTAACACTAAAGTTCTCATTCTCCATGAACAATCTCAACAATCCACATAGTATATTTATATATACACATCAAAATGATACACGAAATCACACATGCTTGACTTGAAAATGGAGAGATATTTGAAAGGGTAAAGTACAAAAAACTACCACAATTATTGGGGTCACGACAGTTTCATACCTCATCTTTTAAAATTGATAATGTCATACCGCATCTTACGAATTTGTGACAATGTCATACCTCCATCAATTTTTCTATTAGTTTTTCTGTTAAATGCTGACGTGGCAAGAGACGGGGACCACTTTCTATTAAAAAATTAATAAAATATTATTAAAAACTAAAAAAAATATTTAATATTTTTTAAATATTAAAATAATAAATAAAAGTAAAATTAAAAAAAAAGGTAAAGTACAAAAAACTATCTCAACTATTGGGGTCACGACAATTTCATACCTCATCTTTTGAAATTGACAATGTCATACCGCATCTGACGAATTTGTGACAATGTCATACCTTCGTCAATTTTTCTGTTAGTTTTTCTGTTAAGTATTGACGTGGCTTGATTCGGTACATACTTTCTATTAAAAAATTATTAAAAACTAAAAAACAATTATTTAATATTTTTTAAATATTAAAATAATAATAAAAAGCAGAGAAAAAAAAAAACCATCAGTTCGTCCCTCCCCTCCCCCTCCCCCTCCCCCTCCTCTCTATTCTCCCCATCTTCATTTTTTTCCCCCACCTGCAAACCCAAAAAAATAAAAAAAATAAAAATATTTTGAAAACCCAACAATCCCCTGCGGAAGAACAAGAAGGAGAAGGAGGAGGAGGAGGAGGAGGAGGAAGAAGAAGAAGAGGAAAAAAAAGAGGAAGAAAAAAAACAAAAATTCCCCCCTGTCGGCGCGGAAGAAGAAGAAGGGAGAAGGAGAAGGAGGAAGAAGAAGAAGAGGAAGAAAAGGAGGAGAGGAAGAAAAAATTAAAAAAAAAATTTGAAAACCCATCAACACCCCCCCTGCGGAAGAAGGAGAAGGAGAAGGAGAAGGAGAAGGAAGAAGAAGGAGAAGGAGAAGTAGAAAGAGGAAGAAGAAGAAGAGGAAAAAAAGGAGGAAGGAAATTTTTTTTTTTTTTTAAAACCATCAACTCCCCTGCGGAAGAAGAAGAAGAAGAAGAAGAAGAAGAGGAAAAAAAGAAGGAAAAAATTTTTTTTTGAAAACCCATCAAACCCCAAATACACCACTTTCATCCATTCTCTACATCCTCTTCCGCACCCATCCTCTACCTTCTCTACTCACCTATCTTCCCGCCGACGGGATTTGGGGGTTTTTTTTTTTTTTTTGGGTTGCAGGAGGGAGAAGAATGTGGGTGGGTGTGGGTGTGGGGGGAAGACAAATTGAATTTTTTTTTTTTTTTTTGTTGGGATTTGCACGTGGGGGAAGAAGATGAAGATGGGGAGAGGAGAGAGGGGAGGAGGGGGGAGGGGAGGGACGAAATGAGGGGGGTTTTTTTTTCTGCTTTTTATTATTATTTTAATGTTTAAAAAATTTGTTTTTTAGTTTTTAATAATTTTTTAATAGAAAGTAGGTCCCGAATCAAGCCACGTCAGCACTTAACAGAAAAACTAACAGAAAAATTGACGGAGGTATGACATTGTCACAAATTCGTAAGATGCGGTATGATATTGTCAATTTTAAAAGATGAGGTATGAAACTATCGTGACCCCAATAGTTGGAGAAAAACTTGTATGGGGCTTGACTTGCCACTGGACTTTGTTAAATGGCACTACAATCCACTTAAAACTCGCCACGTGGCAAGTCTTAAATATATTCTTTTGTCATTCTTTTATATTTAAAATTTTTATAATTATTTTTTTAACTAATTAATATATTATATATATTAATGTTATGTTTCCTTTTTTATTTCTTTCCCCCTATTTATTTTCTTCCCAAATCCCCCCACCACACTTTGTTTTGCCGACTCCCTCCCCTTTCTTTCTTTCCCAGTTTTGTTTGTTTGTTTCTTTTTTTTTTTTTTTAAAAAAAAAAAAGGGTTATGCACCCACTCCAAGTTTATCATGGAAAGCAACCATAAGTTTCTTTTCTTTCTTTATACAATCGTTGCTATGCACACTCCAGATTATCGAGTCAATTTTTTCATATTTGTTATCTTTCACTTTGTTTTGATCGTAGTAACTTTCTATTTTCAAGAAAGTACTTCTCTACCAAATATAATTAAGAACCATAGATAATACTATTTGAAATAAAACTTTGATCAAAACATTAGCTATTAAAAAACTTGATATCCCAGGTGAATGTAAAAGTTATTTTGACTAAATGTCAAGCAACCAAACTATATAAATAAAAAGAAAAAAAAATCCCACATTGTCTCTTCAATTCATCCATCTTCAATCCATGAGCTCTATGTTTCCAGCATCTGCGCATTTTTCTAAGAATTCTTGAAGTTGAAGAGCTAAAGTTATGTTATCCAAGATGTCTACTGCCATTAACCTAAATCAATAAACAAAATGTTAGAATGATAACACAAATTGTGACTTATAACTCCAAATATAAGTTTCAATACAAACCTGATTATAAAAGTCATGAAATGATGGATACAAGGTTGTCATATTTGATGGAGCATTGATATACTCTTGATTATGTTGCTCTGCAAGTGTATATATATTCATTACATAATAATATAGTATATTCACAATAAAAAGTATAAAGTACCATATTGAATGAGTATTACCAGAAACTACAGTATTAGGTGGTGACATTTTCGAGGTATATCTAACTTTTGCCACTTTCTTCGATTTTTCCAAAGCACTCTTCAATCTCTTATTGGTTACCCCTTTAGCTCTCACTGTTGGAGGATCCAATATATGTTGATCATCATCTTGAACACCGGAAGTAGATAGGCTATTTTTCTTTTTAACCTTATCTGAGGCTTTCTTTGCTTTTATGTCCTTTTCAACCAACTTCATTGCCTCTGATAATTTTTCACTAACAATGTGAGCACCCCAATCACTCATTGACGCTAAGCTAAAAAGACTATTTCCTTTATGCATCAATTGACTGAGACGTAATGATTGAGCAGACTTCAGATTTCCTTGTGGTGATGAATCATCTAAATCACTACTCAAAAGCATCCCTTCTTTGACCGTTTTGGTCCATCTCTTTAATACATATTGGGTCGGTATACTAGTAAGATATTTCGAATCAAACACCCTTAAAGCATGACGACACAATATGCCCTTAGCTTCATACATTTTACATGAGCAGGAAACCATGGAAGTATGAGAGATAAACTCAATTGTGTTCACTCTTTTATGACCTTCTTCGGTTGCTTCATAGATAGTAACACCTTCTTCATTACTAACTTCTCTTAACCTTACTGTCAAACAACTCATGTACTCAATTTCAAAGAACTTGAATATTTTATTGGTGTACACCTCAGCTGCATGACATAAAATTCCACTAATTACTTTGAGACGAGGCATACCTTGTTTGCAGCGAAAATCTTCTTGTAACTCTGTCAAACGCATGTCTTCTAGCTTTTTCTCATAGTGAAGCACAAACTCAACAATATTTGTTGTCTTTGTACACATTTGATGGAAAACATTATTTGTACTCTCAACTCTTTGAGTGGATTTCATATTTGCAGAGAAAGTATCTAAGCTAAAAGCAGGACACCACTTATTACGAAGGTTATATAGCTTATTAAGCCATGGATGAGTTTGAAGGTTGAACTTACTAGTCATGGAATCCCATGCAACTTCAAATTCTGGTACACTTTGACAACCACCAAACACCTTGTTGAAATGTGTCCTGAACTCAGGATTGGCATAAAGGCTAGAAATATTTTTTGTAGCATTATGTGCGATGTGCCAAGTACACAACCGATGACGTGTCCCCGTAAACACTTGCTCAATAGCATTTGCCATTGCTTGATCTTCATCAGTGAAAATAGTCTTTGGTTGTTTATTGCCCATCGACTCTAAGAATGTCTTAAATAACCAAACATAATTATAAATAAAAATGGAAACATAACATTAATATATATAATATAATATATTAATTAGTTAAAAAAATAATTATAAAATTTTTAAATATAAAAGAATGATAAAAGATTATATTTAAGACTTGCCACATGGCGAGTTTTGAGTGGATTGTAGTGCCACTCAACGAAATCCAGTGGCAAGCCAAGCCCCACACAATTTTTTCTCCAATAGTTGAGGTAGTTTTTTGTACTTTATCCTTTTTTTTTTAAAATTTTACTTTTTTTTATTATTTTAATATTTAAAAAATATTAAATATTGCTTTTAGTTTTTAATAATATTTTATTAATTTTTTAATAGAAAGTGGTCCCCATCTCTTGCCACGTCAGCATTTAACAGAAAAACTAACAGAAAAATTGACGGAGGTATGACATTGTCACAAATTCGTAAGATGCGGTATGACATTGTCAATTTTAAAAGATGAGGTATGAAACTGTCGTGACTCCAATAGTTGAAGTAGTTTTTTGTACTTTACCCTATTTGAAAATAGAGTAAAATCTGATGATACTTCAGATTTTCATTTGTTACAAAATAAGGAATTTTCTAACACATTACATAAACCACTCACCTCGATCGATAACTAAAACCTTAGCAAAACAAGCCTACTAGCAATCTCCACACCTCAAACCCTAGCTCTCTCTTTCTTTTTTTCTCTATATGTTTAACATAATATATACAAATATTACGCATGCAAGACTACTACTATGCATCCATGCAACGTGACTAAAGAGTGGTATGAATAAAATTGTGAAATGAACTGCTATTTATAGAATAAAAAAAGTGGCTCTGACTTCTTGCTAATTGATGGGCTTTGGCAGCTATAAAAATAAGTTGGCTTGAAAGGTGTAAGCATATTGTAGTGAAGTCTGACAAGAATGTAACGCAAATGGAGGAGGATTCTCTCCCTTATTAATTTCTTTCTTCTTTTCTCTCCTCTTACTTAAACAGTTACGATTAAACCACATCAACATCTTATATTGATTTTTTTATAGAAACAAAAAAGACGAAAAAGACAAAAAGCAAAGTGAGATGAGGAGAGGGAAATATATGAGAATAGGAGGGGAGAAAATCTTACTCCAACGCAAATATGACAACTAAGCTAGGTGATAGTGTTGCTAGGTTGGCAGCAAAGTGAAGGTAGAGTGCTCAATCGCTCAATCTGTTTCAAGATATGAATGAAATGGATTGCTAAATGAAATAGGTAGAATTGTTTTTCTAGCACAACGGCATCACGGGGAAACCTAAGCCAAAGCTAGGAGATAATATGTATATATAAGAAAACCTAATAAAAACGCTTTTTCAACGATAACTAGCAATTGTACACATGTTATGCATGTGCTTATTAAAAGTTTGAAAATAAAATTTACAAAGAAAAAAAAATAAAATGGTCACTAAAACTTTTTAGTGGCGATCTTCAAACGGTTTTTTTGTCACTGAAAAGTTGTTCATATTTATTAACTGTTTTTGGATAATTACTTGTCACTAAAAATTTAGTGAAAATGCCCCTCATTTGCTGCCCAATTCTCAGCCTTCTTCCTTTGTTGCACAGTGAAATTATGTATTTTGGTCATCGTGGGAAGGAAATGAGGCTGGGTGTACGCATGTTAGTCATCTAGGAAAAGGAGGAGGCTGGATGTACGGGTGTTGGCCATCTGGGAGGGGAAGCAAGTGTTGGTGATGGTGCAACCACTCTCTGATCTCTCGACACTTGCTCCCCTTTAATCTCAACCTGAAACCAACAAATCCCAAAAACCCTCAAGCCTTCCAACAAATCGAAAAAAAACACCATCTTTGCTGAAAATTTTGAATTTTCTCAGGAATTCTCGACTATTCCTGAGATTTTTTGGTGGGCTTTGGTTCTCCGGTCCCGTATGTTAAAGGGTTTTGGCTTTGGTAGCAAATGAATATTGGTGATTTCTAGGGTTTTGCGGTGCTTAATGGTTAGGGATTTGGTTTCGGTTTCTGGGTAAGCAATTTTCAACTTAAATTCAGTACATTTTTTTTGTCAAATTTGTTTGACGGCATGATTTTTTGATCCTTTACTGAATGGTTGTTAAGAAATGTTAGAATTTTTAGTTGTTTTGATTTCTTTTGAATTTGTTTTTTATTTTATTTTCAAGCCTCCAATTTTGTAAGGACTGTTTCATTATTTAGAGATGTAGTTTCATCTGGGAAGGAGGCATGTTAGTCATTTGGGAAAGGAATTTTTCTTCCCTTCCTACTTGGGTTAAAGAAATTTTTCTGGTTTAAACATTTAGCTACTGGATTGCATGAAATCAGTATTTAAAGAATTTTTTGTAAGAGAATGCGTTGATGGAAATTTTTTGCCCCACAAATTTACTCACAGAGCTTCCTGTGAATTAAGTCTTGAACTTTTGATTGAAACTTTCTTAGAGTTTTTAACATTTTTGTTATTACTGCTTTTGTTTTAGATTTTTCTTTTGTATGATTTTTATGGGATGTTGATTTGTGTAGGCACTTGGGTGATCACAACATTCTCACTCGGATGAGCACAGGAGAGTTCAAAAAGAGCTTTCAAGTGCTACTCAGAAGGTAAAGTAGAATATGCATTCCTTTTTCCTTATTGCTTCCATGTTGGCAGGTATGGAGTTTCCTTACAAATATTTTAATCTGAACTATTGTATACCACTGTCAATATCTTTATTATTATCCCAATTCTCATCATACGATAATCAAGTTAAAAGTAATGCATGCTCAAATCATTGGTTGTGGCATAACTCGTAAAATGAGGGTTTTTTTATGGCAAGAAATAGGATGATTGGTCTTAAGAGAACCAAAGAGGATGTTAACATTACGGGTAAATTACACTTTACCACCTCATGTTTGAGGTCTATTACAACCTCATACAATATCTTCAAAATATATCACTTTCATACCTCATGTACTGTTTTATTTCAATATAATACATCTGTTACATTTTCCATCTATTGGTCCTTTAAGAGCTATCGTGGTTGCCAAATTTGTGTCATGTGGCAAAAAAAATAATTTTTTATACATTAAAAATATTATAATAATTTACCCTCTTTATTTAGAAGAAAAAAAAAAAAAAAAAAAACAAAACCCAAACCCACACCCAGATCCCCTTCCTTCCCCCTTACCATTCTGCAACCCCCGACCCACTTCTCCCTCCACCTCTCCAATGGCTTCCTCCTCCCTATCCCTCCTCTCCCCCCACAATGCCTCAAGAAGCTCGTCGTCGACAAGGCAGTCAAGTATGTCAAATCGGGAATGGTCCTCGGCCTTGGCATCGGTTCCACCGCATCCTTCATGGTCTTCAAGCTCGGTGAACTCTTCAAATCCGGCGAATTGAAGGACATTGTTGGAGTCCCGACTTCTAAGCGCACAGAGGACCAAGCTCACCAGTTGGGTCGACGGTGCCGATGAGGTCGTCCCAAATCTCGATTTGGTCAAAGGGTGTGGCGGAGCTCTGCTGAGGGAGAAGATGGTGGCGGCGGCGTCGGAGAAGTTTGTGATGGGTATTTTGTATGGGAGGGGAGGTGAACAGCTGGGTTTTTTGGGGTTTTGGGTGGGGTGGAGTGGGGGATGAGGTGTTTGGGTTGCAAGGAAGAGGAATGGGTTGGGGAAGAAGATGGTTTTATTTTTTTTTATTTTTATTTAAAATTTTAATTTTTATTAATAGGGTAAATTATTATAATATTTTAAATGCATAGAAAAAAAAAAAATTGCCACGTGGCACAAATTTGGTAGCCATGTCAGCACAAATGTGGATCTCATATTTGACACGTCATCATTTAATGGTTTACTTAACGGATTTTCTAACAGATGTATGAAATTGAAATAAAATGATAAGTAAATGTATGAAATTGAAATATTTTAAAGATGTTGTAAGGAATTGAAATTGACCTCAAACTTGAGGAGGTAAAATGTAATTTACCCTAACTTATTATGTGATGATATTTAGGGATATATGATTATGTAACTTAAAATTGAACATCAAGCATCTGCCCATGTCCAAGATAATAATTGTTATGTGCTGTTGAGAAAAATTAGATAATGTTTTAACTTTTTAGTTTTTATTATAGTGGATCTTTCTTTTTCATTGTTATAAAGCTGTGGTACAGAACTTTGTGACTTTTTCTGCATTAGGTTGATATAATTCATCTCTAATTTATTATGAATTATCATTTTAAGCAATGCTTAACTAAAACTGCTATGTTGTATTGTATCAATTTTGGAATTAAATGATAATTAGAGATCACAAAGAGAGATGAAAGCATCTTTAATGGTGGTTAAGAATTTTGTTATAACATGATTGTTTCCTCTCTGATCACAATTTGGCTTCTAGTTTCTCAGAAAAAGTTCACACTTTTTTTCCTTCAACAAAACAGCTCAGATTCCAAATTTATCCAACAATTTACTGATTTTGTATTTTTTTTTTTTTTTGTTTAGACTTATTTTCTTAAAACATATGACCCAACTTTTTGTCCTGGAGAGAAGAGCTTATGCATCGACTTCGTTGAGTGTTGTTTGCAAGAGAAAGTTACAGGTTACTTCATTTAATTAGTATTTAATTTTACCTTCAACCTTGCAAATTTTTATTATTTAATGAAATGACACAAGCTTTCTTTTTATGCAAAAACCTTTAATTAACTTGGAAATTTTCTGTTTCACCCACTGATCAATGCCAATGACAACAGGTAAAGGTGTAGTTAATTGTGAAAACTTCTTCAATATTCTTAGACATATCCTGATAACACTAAACATAATTAGAAAAATTTAATTTATATTCAGTATATATGTTTACAAAATAGCTCCCATATATGTATATATTATTTGTCATTCCTTACTGGTGATTTATATTTTTGAAACGAGTATCTGTTTGTAAATAGTGATTGAGTGTTTACAGTTTTACTTATACATTTTAAGGTATTGGAAAAAAAAAAATATGTACACTTATTAAATTTATTAGAAGTTTCAAATGAATTGTGGTTTTCTTCTGACTGAAGTTCAAATTCATTGTTACTTTTGGTTTTTGAAGTGTTTCCCAATTGGGAATTGGCTACTCTTTATTTGGTTCTCAATGAAAAAGAATTTAGGTGTTCTAGTTGATTAGTCAGCCAGCTACATCACGGTATTTACTTTCAATGTTGAGTATAATGAGGGGGCACAGTTAGACATCAAGATTGAGAAAATCGGTTGCTAAACATTTTCATCCTACTACAGCTTTGCTAAAGATTTTATTCAGTAGCACATTTACAAAATAGTCCTTTCAAATTAATAAACAATCTCCTTAGAGTAGTTCCAGTCTGTGAACCCTCCCCCGGGCAATACACTATGATATCCATCTAGTGAACAGTAACTACCCTTAATGAACAGTAACCGCATTTTGCATCTCCACCGTTGCACTTCAATAGTCCTGGTAATAGGCAATAAAATATTAGTATTTTTTATTTATTTATAATTAATATTATATTATTTAATTTGTATAAATTAATATTATATTATTAATTTATCTTTTCCAATCTCTTCCCGAAACTTCTACCATTTTTGTTTTCTTCTTCCTTCCCACTCTCTCACTCCCCTCTTCCTCATTGTTTTCCCTTTGCGAGAGCTCTCACCCACTTTCCTCTTCGAAAATTAAACAAATCAAACTCCAAAACCATGAAACCTTAATCTCTGGGACTAAAGGATCCTAACTATACCATTGCATGCGTCATCGAACCATCATGGTGTAAACCACCATTGAAGCCGAGTTGGAAGCAAGCGAGTTGTCGGGAAGGAGCGAAGGAAGCTAAGGAAAAGCCTAGGCGAGAAGCTCCAGCGAACCTCATCGTGGATAGCGAGGGTCTGATTGAAGACGCCATGGGAATTATCCGCACCATCTCTCTCTCTCTCTCTCTCTCCTTTTCTCCCCTCTGTGAACTTGAAGAAATTGTATTGTTTATTTTTTGGGAAGAAAATGAGAGAGAATAAAGAAATGGGAACGCCTGGTGGTGTGGTGGAGTCACCGGCATCGGCGAGAAGCTCGTCCTCCGTCTCTGGGATATTGGCATCGAGATCGACCTCTGCGAAGAGCTGTCCAGGCCCGTCCACCACGTGGCTAACGTCGCCCAGACGTCAGCCTTGCGTCACATGCCCTTCGGGCTCTCGGGCTGGCAACTCTTGCCAGGCCTCTCCTTCGGGCTCGCTCGGGCTCCATCGCCAGCACACGCTGGACCAAGTTGCTCGGGCTTTCTCGCCCAGTTTGAGAGCCAGTCCACTGGGCTATTGCCCATGGTGGAATTGCTCTTACAAATACATTAACAAACATCTATACACATGCATTTAGGTTGAAGCACAGTTAAGAATCTTGAAACAAGAGAATTCAATCATTTTAGAGGATCAGGTTAACCTGTGATTATATAGTTACATTTTGATAAAACCCGGTTGAAAACTTTCAGTTTATTATTATTTTCTTCTTCTGATTCAGCTTCTTTTTATCAATTTGTTTTATTTAGTTGGAAAATTAGGCCTTTATTTATTTGTTTGGTACAAGTTTTCTATTAAGGTTTAAATAAGATTGTTAAACTTAGTTTTGTTGCGTTGCAGAGGAGTTTATTTACATTTTTAATAAACGAATTCCAGTTTGTAACGCTTCGGTTCCTTCAATTTCAGGTATTTAATTGTTGCGTTTCTAAATTTTTCACTCCAATGATTAAAAAGAGGCTTTTGTAAACTGGGAAGAACCCCTGCATGTATTGTTTCTATCACATAAAACTATTCCTTCCCAGCCATATTGTTTCTATGGCATAAAAGTATGGCCACACAATAAAAGTATATAGTAGACACATAGGTAAAAGACACCTTGGAAATAAAGTATAGTAATTAATATTTAATTAACTAATTGATAAAAGTTGGTGATCCAGATTTAAGGCTGCACAAACTAAATTTGTTGAGGGTAGGCTTAAATTTGGGTAAGAACCACAAATCTCTAATTCTTTTCAATTTTTGTTCATTGCAGCCGTAGTTTATTCTAAAGTCATGTTTATGGAAGAAAAAACGAACTCCCAACTATGAAATCCAGGAAAGGTAGTAATCTTTTCTTTCTTTGTCAACTTAGTAAAAAATGATTTCCTAACCATTGTTGTTTACACTTATTTGCTTACAATGTGAAGAAGTTGTTCATTGTCTGATCGACCCTGGCCTTTGTTACCGCCACAACTGATACACATTTTAATTCACTTTCTGTAAGTAATATCTCGGTCTTTCTCCACATTTCACACTGAATTATTAATGGGAATTCAATCTGCTAGGTTTTCTACACCCACAACATTGTTCTATACATAATATCTCATTAACACGGCTAGGATCCAGTTTTAGTTTCTTTGGACCACATTTTTCTATTAGCTAAACCTCAAACTCCTGCTTAGAGTTGAAATTTGTATCTAAATTGTTCAAACTATTGTTCTGATGTTCCGGATCTTTAATTTTTTGTGTGCTCTTAAGACCAAATACATAAACATCCATCTACTCTTATATTTTTTAGGTATTTTAAGAATAATCATTTTCTGCTTTTTTTATGATTTTATATCATGTGCTGGCCAACACCAGGAGGGCAACGAAGTCATAAAGTACAGTGACGTGAAAAATGTGAGTAAATTTAAACCTAAAAGTGCCTAAATGTAAGAGTGCGCTAGTGATCGGGAATGAACCAATTCCACACGTGATGTCAAAGCATAAGTGACGTATAGTAGGGTAGATTGAGAATTATACCATTGAAAGTAACCTTCAATACCAAGATTTGCCAAGAATTCTCGTCGACATAGAAGTTCTGCCACTAAAACCTGGAGGGGCGAAAAACAAAGGTGAGTGAGCCTAAAAATAAAGCTTTGTAAATTTATTTTTGGAAACATAATAACCATTCGCCGTGAAACAAGCATAGTTCCAAAATATACATACTACATATAGTATGAAAATACTTACTATAGCCTGCAATATCCCAAGAATTCAATACATCACAATAAATCATATATAAACATCTAACGTTTGGTAATCACATAATCCTGCATAAACAACATATCATATCGAGTGCTCATTGACACATGTTGACACATGTGTTCATGCAAAGATATTCTGACATGAACAGGATTAGGTGTAATAATGATTTACGCTCTAGTACTACAATCACGTGAAGACTAGTGCTATGCGCATCACTACGAGTCCTAATTGCCTATAGCAATTTAAGACAGGACGGGCACCAACAATAGATCCAAAGTGAGCATACGATGCGAAGTGAACATACAAGTGAAAGATTAGCCCTGGCCTAGGCAAGTACTAACACCAGTATAACACACGATGAGTAGATAACGTAATTAAAATCAGACAACAGCAAATTGATAATTCACGTCACCATAATACTATTCATGGCCATAAATATAATTAATGCATCAATAATAATATGCATACCTGTGCATCCCCTAGGATGTAGTAAAATTTCAAAATTTCTATCAATGCGCTAAATCTTATAAACGTTAAACTAATCTATGTGTATCGTAGAAAATTCTTTATGAAATATACAAATAGAAACTAACAAACATATATACTATATAAAAGAAAAGACCCACTCATAAGTACTTGCAATGTCACATCCTTCCGAGCTAAGAAAGCTAGAGTCTTCGATGGTAAATGCACCTAAGCATAACGTTGGGGCTCGTTAGTAAAACTTAACTAAAGCGACTAAATTTGGAAAAACGGAGTGAGAATTTGGAATCAAAGTGTCGAAATATGCTAAGACAGGTACCTGGCAAATTTTGTAAAAAGTCAATGACAAAGTGAACGGTGAACCCTAAAAAGTCAAGTGAGCCACCCCAGCGGTCAACTACATTAAAACTTTAGAATTTCACTATACGGATGTCAAAAACAGACTCGAGACGTCGAAATTAGCCTATGAGGGTTTTCGAGAAAATTTTGAAAAAGTCATCAAAAGTCAACAAATAGTCAACCGTTAACTTTAACGAAATATTTCATCCTTAGACAGAATATTCTGTTAAAGTTAACTGGAAAGTTAGGAATATTCCCTCTAATTTCCTAAATGGGTCTGGGTCGGCTGGTTCAGATCTGAGTTTGGAACTGGTTCAGATCTAGGCTTGGATCCGGGTTTAGGCTTGGGCTTTTTTTTTTTTTTTTAAACGGGTCGGGTTGGATCTGATTAGGCTCATGGGTTGCACCCGCCGGAGCCAAACGTAGAAGAAGGCCGGAAATTGAGAAAATTATATCGAGCTCGAATCTCCACTATTTTCAATAATTTATAACTCAAAATGAAGCTAAGGAAGAGGAGAACAAGGATTCACTAATTCGAGGACTGGCCGTGGTTAGAGTTGGCCGAAAAACAGCTCGAAGCCGTTGAAATCTTGGGAACTTTTCTTCCCAGTCAATCTGCACCAAAACTTCATCAATACGCACATATAACCCAACAATAAACTTAGGATAGCTAGATAAGAAAGATTAAGGGAGTCCTAAGCATCACCTTCGTTGGAAAAATTGAGGAATTACCGAGAAAAATCAAGAATAGTAGCAGCGGCCATTGTGTGTTTCGAACCATAAACTTGACGTCCTGAGCACGTTAAGGGAAATGATGGTGGTCTGGGTGGTTTGTTGAAGGAAGAATGGCGAGGTGGTGGTTGTTGGGCTCGGTATCGGCGTTCGTCTGAGTCGGGGAGAGGGCTAACGAAGGGAGAGAGAGACAACAGGAAGAAGAGATGAGGGAGAGTTTTCAAAAAAGAAAGAGACACGGGAGTAAGGAAAGGAATGGGGTGTGGGCCCCACCGGCTCACAAAATTAGACTTAAAATATCCCCTAAATATGAAATTACTAATTTACCCTCGGTATTCAATGATTCATAAAATCTTCATTATAACTCAAAATTTGATTCTGCTTCCACCCACGCATTCACAACGTCGAGTACTGCACATTTGTGCTAAAAGAATGGATCATATGTGTTGCCATATGACAGTCAACGAAAGTCAACCCACTCGCTTCTAGGGCATGTTCGTCGATTCATTATTTTAAAATTAATAAATTAAGGACTGGTTGTTACAATCTACCTAGCTTAAAAAAATTTCGTCCCTGAAATTTGAAATAACTTGTTGTACATAAAATACTCGAAAAATATAGGAAGGAAAAAAAAAAAAGAGATAAAAAAAAAATATATATATATATATATATAACGAAGAAATCAAGTCAGAGTGGTTGTACATAATACCATTATAAAAACATAACGTCAAAAATAGTTGTACTGAAATCAAAACCGAACATAGAAAAATTTCACCTACGCACTCGTAGCGTCACGAACTCCATGAATAACTGTAGTATCTTTGGGTCAAGCGCAAACCATAAATAAATAACTAAATGAATAAATAAAAATACTAACTCCGACGGGCCTACTCATCTACTTGCTTAACGAATCCAATGAATAAGTTATCGATATCACAGTCTGCAACCTGTAATACCGACAATTCACTGTTGTCACGATAAACAAGAAATTTTTTCCCGAGGGTACAATATTACCATCTTGCCCCTTAATGGGAAATACACATAAATCCTCCGGTTAATGCCTTAATCGCACTCACGTACTACCCTTTTGGGCAACTTCGTTAATGGTACAGAATTTCTTACATCGTAATCTCGATCCTTCGAACATCTGTTCGCAATATTTTTCTGTCAATCATGTACTGTGCATAGAATCTCTATGCAATGCCTTAAACGGTACCATACCCACCAGAAATAATAACTATCGTAGTGCGTAACACATACAAAGATAGGTGTTTATCATAACCATGCAAAAATTGCAGGACAGACAAAAACAATATGTTCTCCAAGGTCCAGATAGTTCATTCAAACTGGCCATAAGTTTGAGGGTGAAATGTAGTACTGGACAAAAACTCAGTACTCATAGCCTTCAAGAAGACTTCCTAAGACTTGGAAGTGAAACACGCATCATAGTGAGATACAATAACGACATGCACACCAAGTAACCGAACAATGTAGCCCACATATGCCTCAGCAAGTAGATTCATTATGAACTTTCCCTCGGGTTTAGTGAAAAATTATGCCAAAAAGGCTAAAAGAACATTTAAGAATTTGAGAGTCAAAATAAGTCCATCAAATCTAGAGTATAAGATAACTGGATTGAATGCATAGCATCCTGCTACAACGATAGCTTATGGAATATACAATCACCAAGGATAAAGATTCATCTAGAAAAGTATTTGATAGGTGATTAAGGAATTAATGGTCACAACTAAAACTTCAATGTCCAATCGATTCTCCTAGACGATCTGTCTGCTAAAGAAAAATGATACGAAGTGTGGTAGGGTAGACACGTACCCATGGTTGATTGAAAAGCTTTCCATCACAAGGAGGTGAATATAGAATCACAGTCAAAGTAGATGCTGATCGAAACGCCAGAAAATCCAATAAATTCAAGATTGAGTAATTTGACCAAGTGATCCAAAATGTAGTCCTTTTGAACCAACAGAAAGTAACTGACTTGTCAAGTCGGTCGATAATCACCAAAACATCATCAGAATCTCTATATGTACAAGATACTTCATACATGAAGCTTATGGTGATATTTCCCCATCTTCATTTTGATACAGAAAAGGGATTATAACCACTCGAACGATTTCTTGATGATTTGTAAGTAACGTCATATCAACACTTGTGAATTATAGTTGAAATGGGATATGTCTTTTGATGCAGTAAATAGTAATTACGTTTGCACAACCGAGGTGATACACAATAGTTTAATCGTAGACGTTGATTTGGTTTTTCCATCGTCGCTGTCAGAAATTTAGTTCCTTTCAAATGAAGATGTATTTGAGAAGGATAAGGTGGGTAAAGATTTTGGACACGTTTCTCCACAGAGAAGTGTCATCTGATTTTCAAATGAAAAATATAATTGTTGACTCTAAGTCATGAATAAGATGGTTCATTTCGTATGGTTTCAATCGTCGGGAAGCAAAAGTGAGACTCCGTCACGCTACATTGATACGCAGTTAAAGCATTCAGCAGAACATCATAGTAGATTTCAAAATAATCGATGTCATAAAAAGTGTAGGAATAATGTTCAGGAAGAGACAACACTTCGGTTGTCAGAAATTTTATTCACATGTAACATTACAAACTAAACTAACTTTCCTCAATCGACAAGTGAGGAAAACGCTATAGCTGAAAAATCGCTAACAAACTGTCGATAAAATCGAAAAGACTAAAGATATCTCGAATGTCACAACACTTTGTGAGGATTTCAATTTTCTTCAGTT